CAAACAATCATAGGTTCTGGACTAGGGAGATGGCTCAGTGGTTAAGAACACTTATTGTTTGTGGTCAGGACCCAGGTTCAGTTTCTAGCAGCCATGGCGTGTCTCACACTAACTCCAGCTTCAGGGGATCTGATGCCATCTGCATGCCTCCATAGGCACTGTTGGCACCTGATACACATTCACACATAAAGGCAAACACTCATACACATAAAATAAAAATAGTCGCATGCTTTAATCCCAGCACTGGGGAGGCAGAGGCAGGTGGATCACTGTGAGTTCAAGACCAGCCTGGTCTACAAGAGCGAGTGCCAGGACAGTCTTCAAAGCCACAGAGAAACTGTCTCAACCCACCCCCCCCAAAAAAATTTCAAGACAATGATTCTTCTTCCCTCTAAATGGGTGAATTATAGGGCATGTGGATTGTGTCATAACAAAATGGTAAAAGATAATAACAAATTTTCTCACTGGTTGGACCATGTTGGGTAAACCTCTGTTGACAGCATAGACAGCCACCCTTCCAGTCCACAAAGTGCCACCTCTGTGCCCCTATGAAGGCATAGCACAGGGAAGATGTTATAGAAAGGTTAAAAGGTGGCGTCAATGGGCACTTGGTGACGTCAGTTATTTCTAGCTAGCTGCCGTTGTAGCTTTGGTGTTTAGCTCTGAGCTGCATTTCCTAGAGAGTGTTTTCACCTCCACTGTTTTCAGATCCAGGCCCTCCAGCATGCCTATGATGATCTGTGTCAAGCCGAAGGAGTCACGGCCCTACCATACTTCTTAATCAAGTACGATGACAACACCGTGCTGGTCTCCTTGCTCAAACACTACAGTGATTTCTTCCAAGGTCAAAGGACAAAGGTCAGAGTCTATGGCTATCATTTTGTCAGGCAGTTAAAAAGTTTAAAGTTTGTGTTATAATAGACCACTATCAATTTTAAACTCATTTCCTTAGCTCTCCACAATATGCTCTAAATCGTTTCCTTCTCTGTCCTCTCCCACTCAATTCAACTCCTCCTTGGGATTCCCTAGCTCTCATAACTCGATGATGTGACTCCTCCCTTCTGTTAGTAATGAAGAGATCTGTTTTCCCTCCAGAAATACCCTACCTCCATGTTGAACTTGCCAGCCTCACTACTGAGCTCGCCTTACACCTGGAATCTTCTTGCTTCCATCTTGCATAATACTGCCAAGAAAGAGTCATCCTGGGACAGCTCATGTCACTCAGTCATTCAACGAACAGAGCTTAGTGGGGCCTTCTTCTGGTTCCAGTACCTTTCTGCCCATCCTCTACTATTCTCCCCATAAACCATTGCTCCAACTAAGCTTGCCTGCTTCATCCAGACTCCACACTTCACCACCACCACCCAGTCAAACACACCTCTATCTTTCTGTCTGTTTTTACTATCCCTGTGTCACCTTCCTGTGAGCATCCTACAGCACCCTGTCCTTAGTGATGTTTCCTCCCTCTGCAGAGCATTCTCACGTGTGTCTTCTTTCCCCGTCTAGCCTCTCTCCACACAGTCCCTGGTCCAAAGATGCCTTTTTGTACCATGTTAGACTGTTACCCAGGGCCCATGTTGATTGATCGGTTGGTGTCTGTGGAGTGTGGATTACTTATCTAGGACCCTCAATCAAATTCTCTTGAATGAATAAGAGTATTGCAAATGTTTTCATAAGTAATAAGATACATTGTATTTGTATGGAATTTGAGCCATACATCAGGTTGTGATTTAAAACAATCCACAAGTATTAGGAAGTGGTGAGATCAGGTGGAGTAATTTTTTTCTTTTTTTTTATTAATTTATTTTTTACATTCCTATCCCAGTTCCCCCTCCCTCCTTTCCTCCCACTTCCTTCACTCCCCCCTCCTCACATCTGCTCCACAGAGAGGGTAAGACCTCCCATAAGAGGTCCCATCATTTAGTTGAGGCAGGACCAAGGCACCTCTCTACCTCCACACTCCTTGTGTCTAGGGTGGGCATGGTATCTCTCCATATAGAATGGGCTCCACTAAGTCAGTTTGTACATTAGTGTTAGGTCTTGAACCCACTGCCAGTGGCCTCATACACTGTCCCAGTCACACCATTGTCCAGGTGGAGTAATTTAAGTAAATGTATGAGAGTTGAGAAAAAAAGAGTCCCTTAACTAACTGATGGCCAGTTTAAATCTAGAACCCAGGGCTTTGTGACTGTTAAGCCAAGCTCCGCCCCCAGCCAGGGTGTCTTTGTCTTAAAATCAATTGCATTCTCATTTTCTTTTTCAAAGGAAAAGTCCTCAAAGAATGAAGATTTGACTTTTAAAATCCTTCTTTTGTCCAGGCGATAATAGAACAGTTGCTGTGGTGATTGCCAGATGGACCAGGCCTTTAGTAACTTAGAGTCCAGCCTGCTGTGCAGCCCAACTATGTCAGCAGGCAGAATTGGTTTAAAGCTGCTATAGGTCTGGTTGAGTGCAGCAAATAGATGCCCCTTCCCCTAGTGTCACTCCACCAACATAGCCGTTTACAGAGCACATTTCTCCTGGCACTTGCTTTCACAAACTCAAAATCTCATAATAAATCTGTGAAATGGGTATCACAGTGTCTGTATTTCCCACGTGAAGAAAATGATGCTGACAGTCACCTCATGCCTATGGCCAGTTTCCTAGAACCCCACACTCTCTGCCTTCCCATCTCTACTTTGCTCTAATACAGGCCATCTCTGCTTGACCCTGAGGTTCTAAATAGACCTGGATCTGATGGCAGTGCTGGCATTTACTAGCTCTGTAGCCCCAATGAAGCAGAGTGACCTTGTCTTGCCTTGGTATTTCTGTCAAATACCACAGAGCTTCTCTTTCCGTGATTCAGTGAAAACTAAACATGCGATGTGAATAAAACAACCAGCACAGAAGCAGGTTGTACTCTCTTGTATTCCCAGCATTCAGGGGCCAGAAGCAGGTGGATTTCCGTGAGTTCAAGGCCAGCCTAGTCTACAGAGTAAGTTTCAGGACAGCCAGGGATATAAAGAGAGAGTTTGCTCCCCCCAAAATGCTCAGCACATAGTGGGTGTTCATCTTATAGCAGACCCCCAATATGTAGTAGATGCCTTGCATGGAGCAGGCCCTAGGGTGTAGTGGGTTCCTAGCATGGAGCAGGCCCTCACTGTGTAACAGGCCCTCAGCACATACCCAGTTCTCCTCCTCCTCATGTTTTCTTTCTCTTATTCTCCAGCTTTTAAGAGACTGCATAGATCTTGAGTCTCCTCTGAACCCTGCAGGGGTTCATTGGACCAAGGACCTGTGCAGCCAGGACCATTGCTCCTCACTTGCTTAGAACTGTACCGTTGGTTAAGGACAGGTCTCAGGGAAGCCTGGATCACTCAGCACATGTGCTGACTGCCTCCTTGTGGACTACAACTGGAAAGACGCTTAGAAGACTATAAGACTTCAGAGTCTTATAGGGTGGAAGAGTCACTGACATGAAAGGTAATGAAATTGAAGGAAGAAAACAAGAGGCCCAAAGAAACGAGATATTGGTACACTGGTTGGTAACCTATGCTATTTTTTATTGTGGAAGGTGTCACAGCACCTGTGCACACTGGTAACCTCACTAGAGTTTCAGCCTCCCAGGCTGTGGTCATGGCTGTTCCCATGCATCCTCCACATGCATTTTCTAGCCTGCCCAGCCCTTCAGGATAAAGTTGAAATGCCCTAGCTAGCCCTGCCTCATCTCCCACTGCTCCCCAAGGTGAAGCTTGCACTCTGACTGTAGCCACGCCCTCCAAACACCACATGCTTGCATTCTAATGGATCCTTCCCTTTGTCTCTCTCCTGTCACTGACTGACAACACCTTCCTCGCCTGATTTATTTCCCCAAAAGTGACAACTGACTCCATGCGCTGTTTCCTGGACTCGTCTGGGGTCCAGCCGCAGGCTCTCTACCCCTTGCCTTCTAAAATGATGCTAATCCTCTGGCCCAGGTCCTGGGCAGCCAGTGAACACCTCAGCATGGCAGCTGTGCTGTGGCCCTTCTGTGAATTCCACATTTACTGCCCTCTGGGTGCTCCAGAAGCACCCACTGGTAAAGTGGAAGAGAGAGGTCATGTGGCCTGATGCCATCCAAGCAGGCTTCCTAAGGAACTGTGGCAGTAGTAGAGTCCCCATAAATATTTCTGAAGAGTCCAGGTGAGATTAGGCACTCCTGCCTTTAATTCCTTAGCCTTAGTTTGCTATTTAGATAATTCCAGCTTCTCTTAAGTGTTTCTTGTATCCTGGTGTTTCCATGAATGATTCACCCTCTTCTAAGAACAGGCATTCATTTCAGTGTGAGCCCTGCAGGTGTATTCTCCCTTCAAACGGTGTTCATCTGTTTCCTGCCACCTCATCACGTCTGCCTCTAGCTTCTCCAGTTTGATCTGTCTCTGTCTATGTGTCTCCCCCCCCCCCCCCAGTTTACAGTATTGGGAATGAATGGAACCATGGACAACTCACCTGTGCTATGTAAGTCCTCTCTGGCTGACCTACACCCCAGCCCCGTCTCCCCTTCCCAGCTGCATTTTTACCCAGAAGTTGCTCTTCTCAGTGAGCCTTCTGTCTTCATGGGAAAGAAGGAGAGGTGTTGAGATCCTCCAGATGTGTCTCCCGGGTGACATCCTTATGCCCATGACTCCCGTAACTATTTCCTCCCACGTGACACACTTGAACTCCCTATGGCCCCCTCACCACCACATCTGCTTACCCACGCTGAATTCAGGACCTTCCCTGTAAGAGGCTGTTGGTCCTCTTACAGGCATCATCAGGATGGCTCTGCTTCCATCCACTTGCTGGCCACCTCCCTGTCCCTTGTCACATAGTTGCTTCCTATAGCTCTCAGGTTCTCAACATCTCAACCTGCTACCTGTAACTTTCTTGTGTCACCCCGAGCTGAGTGGTTGCCTTTCCACTTTGTCACTGAGTGACCTCTGGATGGATCCCTGCCTGGGTCTACTGTGGCCTCTGATCCATCCCTCACCTGCAGTGATCTCTTGTGGTGTTGCCCAAATGAAGCCCCTGAGTGTCTTCACTCTGAGCTTAGCAGCTGAATTCTTTACTGACATATAGGACTTTTGATATTGGCCCTGTGGGAGAGTGTCTACTGATACACCTTTTTTGTTTTGTTTTGTTTTGTTTTGTTTTGTTTTGTTTTGTTTGTTTGAGATTTTGAGACAGGGTTTCTCTGTATAATATCCCTAGCTATTGTGAAACTCGCTCTGTAGACCAGGCTGAGCACAGAGATCCACCTGCCTCTGCTTCCCCAGAGATGGATTAAAGTTGTGCACCACCATGCCTAGATGGCATACCTGACTTTTATGTTGGCCCCGTAGGAGGGAATCCAGCCGCAGTTTAGTCTAGATTCTCTCTCATAGACTTCTGGCCTTGCCTTTTGCCTGTGGCACCATTTTCTTCAACCCACCCTCATTGCACACATACCCTTTGCTCTGTTGAGTGCGTACTCTGTAGATCTGAACACTCCCTACTTCCTCAGGACTTTCCCCTCTCTTCCAAACACAGGCTTATTCCTCCTCTTCTGAAGCTAATATTGCCCACCTGTCTCTGATGTATTTATTTGGCACAGCTCTCATTCATTTTCTTGGTGATTTTCGATATTAAAACTTTGAATTTATTTATTTAAGATTGTTGATCTTTTGAGACTGGATTTTTTTTTTTTTATCGCAACAGGGTTTCTCTATAGCTTTGGAGTCTGTCCTGGAACTCACTCAGTAGACCAGGCTATCCTCAAACTCACAGAGACCCGCCTGCCTCTTCCTCCTGAGTGCTGGGATTAAAGGTGTGTGCTACCACTGCCTGTCGAGACTGGATCTTACTTTGTAGTCTAAGCTGGC